ATATGATATAGGGGGTGGGACGGGAACATATTTGGTGGGGGTCACAAAGTGATAACGACTGATAAGAGCAGATAAGAGGCGCTGAAACACAAATTTCACGAAATTCATAGTGCGCTTCGCAGCAGTCGTCAGGAGCTGATTTTGGATATGATATAGGGGGTGGGACGGGAACATATTTGGTGGGGGTCACAAAGTGATAACGACTGATAAGAGCAGATAAGAGGCGCTGAAACACAAATTTCACGAAATTCATAGTGCGCTTCGCAGCAGTCGTCAGGAGCTGATTTTGGATCCGGAGTCCGACGTAGGCAAAATGTCTTTTTTTTTGCCCCCTTCCCCCTGTATAGTTCACAGTTCCGCCGAATAAAAATGATTGTTATAGCTTCGCATCCACATACAAAGAGGGTGCTGTCACAAGTTCACTTCCGTTCTACATGCGTACATGAATTATTACCTGCTCCCATTTCCGAGATTAGGTCAAGGTTTCAGACTTGGATAAGCCCGGCGTAAAGGGTGTTTTGACCCTCATAGCAGAAATACCGCACTAGTTCGCCACAAAAACTCTTGGCACGCAAGCTATGCGTAAGCGCGTAAGGACTAGCATGCGCAGTCTTTGATCAGTAGTGACCAAACTAGCGACAGGTGCTGGCGAACTCTTCACTTAGGCAATTTAAGGCAGGTGTAAGCAATGTAAGGTTGCGAAAAGATATGCTGCCAAAAAAAAACCGTGCTCAAGGCCTCTGGCCTGCGAGACTGAAGTCTTGCCACCAACACCATCGTACCGCAAGTAACCCCCACGCCACGCTTTATAAGAGCGCTACCGGGGGATTCCATCCGAATGCAATGTTGGGGAATCCTTCCGCGACCTCGTTCAGAGCATCGTTTCACTGATTCGGTTAGCAGTTTATAGCTCTATGTCTCAATAGGAATTCATGGGTGTACACCTCACTGCAATTGACTGCATCGATCTGAAGGCCTTCCTTGCTCAATACGCAGGGGAAGAATCTTCAAAAACAGTTCTGTGTGTGGCGAAACTTGTTTTCGAAGCAACTCCTTCATCTGACAGTGAATGATGCAGGCGAGATCCGACCAGTTGGGGATGAGATTGTAATTGCTGAGTGATTCAAAGCTTATGTTAGTTTTCTGGTACAAGCACGTATACGCCTGCTTCTAGACCTTAGAAGGAGAGAATGCTAGAAGGATGCATTATTTGAAACCTAGAGAAATCTAAAACCAGGCAAGCAGCTCGATCGGAATGATATTTATCT